GATGGTGTCCTGGACAGCTGAGCCAGGGCCCAGAAGTACTATGAGGAGGCTCATTGCTTTATTAGATTGCTCCAAAATTAATTCAATTTATTAACTGCTCTAACTGCTCTAATCTTCCAGATGTTGCTGCCCCCATGAGTGGCCCTGGTGGGTGATGGCAATTTGGAAGCTGTGATGGGAGTTCCAACCCACTCCATTTGAGACCATCACTGAAGAAGGGCCAGAACCATATTGGATTCATTTTCTGAGTGAATCACATGACTGCTTCCCTATTTTCTTTCCTGGGCCTTAAACCCGAGACTTTTTGAATAGCCTGTCAGCATTTAGACTTTCTAATTTCTTTTTTAAAACAGAGGCTGAGTCAGAGGACCTCTCTTTTCTCTATAGCTCCTTCCAGCAATAATTTTCCATAATCCTAGGAGTAGAGAATATTCTAATACCTTTGTCTCTAGATTTTATTCTCTACATGTTGTGATGTTTGGGCATTCTGCACAAGCTCCTTGGGTTTTTCTGCCCATCTTTTCTGTGAATTTGGCCTGTGGGTGTGCAGGAAAGGGACTGGGCCAAACTGGCCACTTGAGTGAGGAGAGTATTGCCTCTTCATGGTGAGGTTGCAGGGTGTGTGTGTGAGGGGCGCAGCATGGGGAAAGTGAAGAGATAGATGGTCGATAGAGTCAGAACTGGTGAGGTAGAAGGTCAGTCAGAAAACTTGGCCATCTGGGCATGAACCCTTCCTCTGCAACTATGGGTGTGACAAGTCAATTAACTCCTGTGGGTCTGTTTCCTTATCTATAAAATATGGGAGTGACACAGGGAGGATGCCAGGGTCTCTCATATATTGGTCTCTCCTAATAGACTATGGGCTGCTTGAAGTAAGCCTCGGATTTCTACAACCTCCTAGTCATGATGCCCACTGAAGGGTCTGGCACATAATTCTATCAGCTGGGCATGAATTTGGCTGCAAGTAACAGAAACCCACTAACAGTGAAACATACTGGGGTTTCTTTTCTCCTCTGCAAGAAGACCGGGGCTGTGCCGGGGTTGGTTAAGGTGCTTAATGAGACACTGTTTTTCTTTTGCTTTTTCTTTTCTTTAGTACTTTTTCAGGGAGGCTTTTGAGGACCTAGATCCTTCCCTTCTTCCATCCTGGGCATATTGGCTTTTGTTCTCATTCTTGCCAACATATAGTCCAAAGGTAGCTGCCACAATGTTAGACATCAGACCTACATTCAAGGCAGGAGAATGGCAAGGGGTGGCACCAACCATTTCTGCCCTTTTATTTATTTAAATATTATTTTTAAAGATTTTATTTCTTTATCTGAGAGAGAGAGAGAAAGGGAGAGCACGGAGGGAGAAAGAGAGGGAGAAGCAGGCTCCCCACTAAGCAGAGAGCCTGATGCAGGGCTCGATCCCAGGACCCTGGGATCATGACCTGAGCCCAAGGCAGACGCTTAACGACTGAGCCACCCAGGCACCCCAATTATTTTTACTTATTTTTGAAAGAGTTTATTTATTTATTTATTGTGAGAGAGAGAGAGTGCAGGGAGGGGCAGAGGGAGAGAGAGACTCTCAAGCAGACTCTGCAGAGTGCGGAGCCCGGAGCCCGAGGCGGGGTGTGATCCCCCGACCCTGAGATCATGACCTGAGCTGAAATCAAGAGTCAGATGCTTAACCGACTGAGCCACCGAGGCGTCCCTGGGCTCGGCAAATATTTTTCAATAAATAGGACTCAAAAGTAAGCTGAAAATGCTTCTCTTTTCCCGAGACGAACAGACTGTGCAATGACTTTGAGGAAGCAGGCCCTGCCTTGCATGTGCTTTTTGGTTACTTACCCTGCTATCTGGCTTGCATCTGGCAGAGCAGGAAGGACCCCGGTTTCCCCTCACAGGTACGGGCGGGAGGAAGGGCTGGAGGAAGGGTCAGAGTCCACGCAGAGCTTCGCCCAGAGGGGTCACACTCTGCTGTTTTCCTGAGAAGAGCTTCACACACCCTAACCTTCTGGTTGGAAGGAGGCACTGCTTTCATGCCCTTTCACTGGTTGTGCTCCTCCCAAGGCCGGCGGGGTGTGAGCACTTGAGAAGTCCCTGGTTCTGGCTGGCCTTCATTACCTTCTGATGCACACGCATTGACCTGACACTTGAACAGAAGGGTGCCATGTTCACAGAGAGAAGGAAGCTGGCCAGACCGTGGCGCTGGGACACAGAATGCCATCTCTCTTCTTCACTGGGGGGCCCCCGTGCTCTTAATATGAACGAAAAGGTGCAGGCAGGGGTGCCTGGGTGGCTCCATCAGTGAGACATGTGCCTTCGGCTCAGGTCATGATCCCAGCGTCCTGGGGTCGAGTCCCCACATCGGGGGGGGGTCCCTGCTCAGCGGGGGATCTGCTTCTCCCTCCCCTGCTCTTGTGCACTCGATCTCTCTCTTTTAAATAAATAAATAAATAAATAAATAAATAAATAAATAAATAAAACCTTCAAAAAAAAATGTGCAGGCAAATTGCTTAACAAGTGCCCAGCACACAAAAGGCACTTTCATAAAAATGCTAGATGTTATGATTTTATTGCTATTAGTAAGAAAGACACTTCTTTTCTCCCTGCCCACCTCACTAGCAAGGACCTCCTTTTCCCCGTTTCACCCAGAGGTATTTGGACAAAATGCCAAGATCCAAGCTTGAACCACACAGGTCCCTGACTCCACTTCCGCTCCCCTCCGGGTTTCTGGGCGGACCTCGGGCAGAAAGACACACTCGGAACTTTTCTCAGGTGTGATGAAAGTACTCACACTGGGTAAACTGTCCTCACACAGAATTTGGCCTTTTTAGGAGACAACCTTGAAACCCTAATTATTGCTTTCAGGAATTTTCTCCTCCTGGGAACCACTTTGTTTCCCGGTGGAATTTTATTCTATGGGTTTTCTGAATACAATGAAAGGGAAAGTACAACGGGGGTCCCTGCACAAAAGAAGTTCAAAGATCTCTGACAGAGATCTCTTTACACAGATGGGAGTACTTCTGAGCCCATCTCCGAATACTGCTGCCTTTACAAACCTCACTTGGTTTTCTGTTGTATTACACAGTAACAGATGTGAAAAGAAAGCGAGGTCGGTGGTTCAGCGGCTCGCGGCACAGCAGTCGTTGGTGTTAGGAGGTAACTGTGGGGTGTGGGCTCACCTGTTGTTTCTTCCCTTCATCTTGCAGGCCGGAGGGTTATAAAGTCTAATGGTTAAGGAGGCAGGCTTAGGAATTGGAGTCTTGAGTCTAGATCTTGACTTTGCCATTTTCCAGCTCTGCCACCTTGGGCCCATTACGTAGCCTCCCTGAACCTCATTTCCTTACCTATACCAAGTGGGCAAATTCATACCCATCCCACGGCATTTATACGAGCATTGAATAAAAAAAGGCTATACAAGAAGGCTTTTCGCAAAGTGTTCTGTGGCAAGTTTGAAAATCCCCACCCAGACAACTTAAGCAAGAGGAGAATGCACTGACTGACAGCCTAAAAACAGAGCTTCAGGTATGGCTAGATCCAGGGGCTCACACTCTGCCATTGGGTCCAGATTTCACTCAACTTTTACTTCGCTTCCCTCCACATTGGCCCTGTCCTCAGATGAGTTCTCCCTTAGTGGGGCAAGGGGGCTGCAACAACTCTAGTCTTTCTAGCAGTCCCAGGGAAAGTGTCAATGCATCGCGTTGGCTCTGAATGATCCTGGAACCAATGCAATGTTTTGATTAGTCACACGCCCACGTCTGGAGCAAGAGGGGTGAAGTCAATACCTCCTGCACAGAATGAGTCTGGTTTCCGAGCAGAGAACTGAGGTGCTGTTGCCAAAGGAAGCAGGAATAGATGTTTCCAACGCTGACTGCCCACCAGAATGACCAACTTTAAAAAAACAACAACAGTTCTAGGAAGCTGGCAATGGATTCCCTCAGCCCGGGGTGGAGCCTCGAAGTCAAGATTTTGAACAAGCCTTCCTGCTGCCAAGACTAGTGTTTGGGTTTCTAGGGGCGCCCCCATCCATCCCTCCCCAGCTGCACTCCCTACTCCGCACTGGATGGATCTGTTGACATCCCCACTCCCTTCCAGAGTCTGAAGCCCCAGATGGCAGGGGCTCCTGCAGCTCTGGGTACCTGGCCTGGAGTGAGCACCCACAACCCATTTGCAGACAAGCCGCCTTCTCCCGTGTGGGCTTTCCTGGGAGAGAAAAGCTTCTATTTCAGGAAGGGGTTGCCGCGATGGAGGAAGGACCATGGCAGCAAAGGCGGGCAGGCGGCCAGGAGTGGGAAAGCCTCACGGTCCCCCGGGCCACACACGCTTAGAAGACTCCAGCATAACTTGAATAAGAAAGCGACCACAACAGGGATGGTGATGGTGTGTGAGTGTGCTGGTTTGGTGTTAGCATCAGATCCCCATTTTACAGACGATGAAGGGAAGGTCCCCCGCAGGGGCGGGGGGGCTGGTCCAGGAGCTCAGTTAGGAAGTGACACAGCTGGGCCTGGGCAGCCTGGCCCACGTGACCACAAGCCACCTGCCCCTCACCTCTCAGAGGGCTGGCACCAGGGCTGGGGCGGGGGGCGGACATCACGCATATTTGCAAGGGGCCCATTTCCTTCTTAGCAGCATCCAGCAAACCTAAGTCAACAGCGGAGGAAATCAGGGGAGAGCAAGAAAGAGTCCATTGTACACCTCTCCAAAAAGGCTATTTTCTGCCGACTTTTTATTCCTCCAGCTGCGTGCTGAAGGTCATTGGCGACGTCTGCACAAACCAGTGAAGTCACAAAAAGGAAAACTTGGCCGGGGAGCCCGAGGCTGGGGAGGGTGGAGGTGGAGCCAGAGGAGGGTGGAGACAGAGGAGGAGGGGGCCAGGCCACTGCACACCCGGGGACGGGGCCTCCTGACCCTCCCTCAGTCAGCCCAATGGCCTGCCTCCCTGGCCCTGACCACTCCCGTGGGCTGGCTTCCCTGCGCGCCCACAAACAGCCCAGCAGCAGGAGTCCGCCCGCATTCCTGTGAACGCTGGGCGCTGCTCCCTACTTCTCAGGAGGAAAGCTCTCTTGGAAGAGCTGGAAAGGTGAGTGCCAAGTTCAGGTTCATTTTCTTCTTCTCAGAGGGGGTTTTTACGAGTTTGGAACTGGGGCGGGGCATGTGGCCTCTGCTTGGAAAAGCGCTTGATCGTCTTTTTGAGAGGGACCCGTTGAGGGACAGAACCTGGCTGCTCTGAAGGGGGTGAGTGGGGAGGGGAGAGGGGGGAAGCCTCAGGGGAGAAAGGAACCGTTGTCTTTTGTACCTGTGAAGGCCCGAAGCGGACTTTAGGGTTAGAAAAGAGAAACCTGGAGGGAGGAAGGTCACCTCTCTGAATGTTGCACGCCTCGGGGGCTGGGACCTCCTAGGGCAGAGCCACCTGCTTAGGAGAGGGCCTGGCTGGCTCAGGCTCACCTCCAGGGCTCCTTCTAGGAATGGGCCCAGGACCTGGGACATCGGGAAGGTGTCAGAAGGGTCATCGTCTTCCCAGATCCAGACCCAGGAAGGAGGCACAGGGCTTGTGGCTTGCTTTGTCCTCTTCCTCCGATAACCTGTCTTCCCTTTCAGACCAGGCACATAGCCCCCCACCCCCCGCCCCGAACCACGTGGTCATTCACAGCTCAATCTCAGGGGCGGCGGGGGCGGGGGCAGTGTGCATGTATGAGACGGGTGAGTCTGATGCGGGCTGGCCTCAGGAGGCAGAAGTCAAGGTTTAGAACCACAGAGTCAGGGCTTACCTGGGGTTGCGGAAGAATTATTTTCTTTTAAGAGAAAAGAACCTGCTTAGACTGTTAAGTATGACCCAAGCATTCTTAAAAAAGGAAGTTTCATTGACACACCCCAAACAATCTGTTTTTGCTCTGTTTTTAAGGAAGAGCTTTCTAACTGGCAGAGCCCTCCCGAGGGGCAAGGCTGCTGGCAGGGGTGGGGGAGGCGATGGATGATGGAAAGCTGGAGGCTGAGGCCTGGGATGGTCCCCCACTCCCGAACCCGCTCCCCAGGGCTCCAGTGTGGACCCCCCTACCAGGCCATGCCTGAGGCGGTGGTACCCTTGACATCACTTTCTGGGCTTCTCCTACCTTCCTGCCACTCCTTCTTGGAGCCTTTCCTGGGCACCTCCTTCTCCCATGGCTTCAGTAGCATCTCTCAACTGATCAGCCTGGAACTTCTATCAGCGTTTCCCTCTGGTCGCTAAGAGCTGCCAGATACCTACCAGGCTCTGTGCTGTGTGAGCCTTCAGCTGTTCAGTGTGCTTGGACCACACACTTTTAAATCTTGCCGTCAGCGGCTTATCGAGTATGTAACCTTGGGCAAGACGCTTGCTTCTCCTGGCCTCAGTTTCCTGCTCTTTGGAAGGGGGATAACAGTAACACCTACCCCACAGGGTTCGGGTGAGGCTTCTATGACTCGACAGAGACAAAGTGCTTTTAACAGAGCCTGTAGGTGTGTTCGGTAAGCGTTAGCCCTTCACACTGTCTCTCTGAAGCCTCACGGCAAGCCTCAAAGGTACGTATAATTATCCCTATTTGCAGATAAAAACAAAACAAAACAAAAAAACCAAGGCTCAGCAAAGAGGTGGAGCCCAACTAGCTTTTAGTCCAGCAGTTTCTCTGGTACTCCGCACTACCAGTGAGTCCAGAATCCACTCTTTTCATCGCCATACTAGATTGCCTTTCCGTAATGGTTACAGAAGGAATAAATATCCCACCCTGGAATTTGCTTTTCAAGTGGCACCTGCCTTTGAAAGCGCAGCTGACCGGCAACCCGGTTCTGTGGAGAAAGCACTGGTCCGTGAGGACAGACTTAAAACTACGAAGACAGCCTGCCATATAATATCTCACTGACTCTTCACCGTGATCCTTGGTGACATTACCTTATTTTGCGGGTGGCTGAGATAGAGTCAGTCACTTCCCCACAATATCGCGATTAGCATACATCGGGATTGGGATCTGAACCTGTGTCTGACTCTAAAACCCTGGCTGAGTCCCCGAGTCTTTGATGGAGCTTAAAAAAAAATAGTAATTCATGCCCACTGAATCAGAATCCCTTGGGCGAGGCTTGGGCATGTGACTTTCAAGAGCCAGAGTCCAATGTGCAGTCAGCACTGAAAAGTCCTTGCAGCGACACTGCCTCTCCCAGGTGCCAGACCCATGTTTCCAAATGGCTACCGAACACCTGACCTGGGCACTGACCAGCCTCTCACCCCCAGTGGGCTCAGGCTGAACAAACCCTCTCTCCCGACTTCTCAGGGCCTCTTACCACCATGCATCCGCCCGTCTCCCCTGCTGGGCTCCCACATCCTCTCCGTCCTCGCTGTAAGCGCTCTTCGAGATGTCTCCCAAATCCATGGCCCCTCCACCTTTGCTGCCTCCATCTTGGTGAAGGCCTCCATCAGTTCCAGTTTGGGTTGAGGCAACCAGGCAACTCATCTACTTCTGAATGTCTCCATTCTTCCTTTTCTGTGTCTCTATCTCTTGCTGGGCTATCCCCACTCCTTCTTGCCTGTTCCCTCCATGCCCAAAGACCAGCCCATATCCTTTCTCTGGCCAGGTTAACGAACTAAAAACTATCTCATCGCCGTCTGCTTTAAAATTTCCACCAGTTCTAGACCCCCCACCCCGCAGCTCAACAGTCACAGTCCCTAGCACAGCAAACCCAGGCCCTCAGCCCCTGGCTCTAAGTTCCCTCCTCCCTGGCCACACAGGCCATGTTGCAGCCACACAAATATTCCCCCTACCGTGTCACGGGCTGCGAACATGCACCTTGCGCCTCCTGCCTGAACCGGGCTTCCAGCCTGGCTCAGCTCAAAAACTGCTTGCTTTGTGAGACCATGTTCAAATGTCATCTCCTCTGGGAAGCTTTCCTGGAGATCCCCTTGGGGGTGGGTACTCCTTCCTCTGTCCTTCCCAAGTACAAGACTCCTCCATCTTCAATCACAGGATGGCGTTAGAACGATCTGATGACATGTCTGTCCCTCAGTGAACTCCTCAATCAACAATCACGTATAAAATGTCGCCGACAGCCAGGTGGGGGGGCCCAGGTGCTGGGGATGATGAGTAAAACCGAGTTTCTGGCTTCAAGTTTATTGTGCGCGGCAGAGAAGAGGGGATAGGGCACTTCAGAGAGAGGGCACCGCTCATGCAAAGACCAAGAAGGCAGGGGCAGCTGGTCTTAGTATGTCTGTAACGAAGGATGCTTGGCCAGAGCGGCAGGGGATGCGGTGGGGTAATCAGGGGAAGCAGGAGGTCTGGAAGAGCCATCCTCACGCGTCCTGAGATGCTCCCCCGATTGCCCCAAGACTCCCTCCACGTGACGAAGACAGGACTGGAGAGGGCCATGATCACATTGCTGGCTCAAAAAGATCCCCATGAGTTGCCTGAGATTGTGCCAAATCCATCCTTACACCCTCAGCCCCTCACCCAGGTCCTGGAGGACAGCAGGCCCAGAGACGCAGGGGAGAAGGCAGGAATGCCCACCCGGCAAGGAAGCGCCCCCCCCGCCCCAGGGCCGGGGGGGGGGGGGCGAGGGGCAGGTCCCGAGACTGCCCGGTGCCAGGGACTAAGGATCGCTCAGCTCCACCCCTGGGGGGGGGGGATGCCCGCAGGTGCCCGACTCCGGCCATGCTGGCTCCAGCGCTGCTGTGTGCCTGCCTGCTGCTGGCGGCCCCCGCCTCGCGCGCCTGGCCCGGCCCCGACCCGGAGGAGCCCGGCTCCAGCACGGCGGCGCAGATCCGCGACATGCACGAGAAAGTGACGGCCATCTGGCAGGAGCTGACGCAGCGGCGGGCGGCGGCCGACGGCGGCCCGGACGCCGCGCTCCACGCCGCCTGCCGGGTGCAGCCGTCCGCCACGCTGGACGCCGCGCAGCCCCGGGTGAGCGGCCTCGTGCTCTTCCGGCAGCTGGCTCCCGGCGCCCGGCTCGAGGCCTTCTTCGACCTGGAGGGCTTCCCGGCCGAGGCCAACAGCTCCAGCCGCGCCATCCACGTGCACCAGTTCGGGGACCTGAGCCAGGGCTGCGAGTCCACGGGCGCGCACTACAACCCGCTGGCCGTGCCGCACCCGCAGCACCCGGGCGACTTCGGCAACTTCGCCGTGCGCGACGGCCGCCTCTTCAAGCACCGCGGCGGCCTGGCCGCCTCGCTCGCCGGCCCGCACTCGATCATGGGCCGCGCCGTGGTGGTGCACGCGGGCGAGGACGACCTGGGCCGCGGCGGCAACCCCGCCAGCGTGGAGAACGGCAACGCGGGCCGCCGGCTCGCCTGCTGCGTGGTGGGCGTGAGCGGCCCGCTGCCCTGGGCGCGCCTGGCGCAGGAGCACGCGGAGCGCAGGAAGCGGCGGCGGGAGAGCGAGTGCAAGGCCGCCTGAGCGCGCACCCCGCTTCCCTGCGGGCCCCGCCGCCCTTCCCTTCCGCGCGCGCCCGAGACCTGCCCCCTGCCTGCCTCGAGTCTCTCCCTCTGCTCCCAGAGAGACCCCCCCCCCGCCCCGGGGTCCCAGTGCTGCCATGGCTGAGGTCTCCCCCAAAAGCCCCTCCACACAGAGGCCTCCAACCACGTATGCTGAGACACGCCTCTGCCTCCAGAAGGCAGCCCCCGCCCTGAGACGCTCATCCTGAGCTCCGAGGACCCCCGGAGGGATTGAAATACCCCATCTGCCCTCCCCAAACCTCCCCCGCCTCCCCCAGGTCCCTTTCCACCCTGACACCCTTACCCGCAGTCCAGGAGCCCTGAAATCCCTCTTTGCCCTAAGGACTCAGCTCCTCCCGCCCCGTCGATTCCTTCCGAGACCCGACCTGAGGTTACCCAGACCCACGGCCGCCCAGCCACCTCTCCCGCACCGTGCCAGCTCAAGCAGCCTGCGGTCAGGCGCCCCTGCCCGGTGCCCTCAGCTGTCACTCGCCCACCGCCACCCGCAGAGAGCTGCCCCTTTGGGAGCTGTTTGGCAATCTTTGTGTTGCACATTAAAACTCAGCAATTCAGACTTGCATTTGGGGCCTTGGTTACTTATTTTGTTTGTCTGAGGCTCTGCTCCCAGGCTCAGCTAGTCTTTGGAAAGAGCAAAGATATTTCCCAAATCCCCACAGGATTTCTCCTTACCCTCTCTCTCCAAGTCGGCTGGCCACGGTATTCAGTCTCTGGTTGGCATGTCTTCTGTGTGGCTCCCAAGATGGAGGGCACCGGGATCACTCAGGAAAGTGAGAAAAAAAAAAAAAAATGACGGCTTCCTGGGCTGGAATCCAAAGGGAAAGATGGACATCTATTTGCAACTTGCAACAAGCTTCCTGGTGATTCCCAGGCTGGAGCCACCGGCCTGGCACACGGCTCATGCCACCTCACTGGGCCTTGGGTCTCCTGGCATGGGTCTCTAAGTGCGGCCCGAGGTCCACTTCCCAGATGGCGGGGAGAGGGCCAGTGAAGCAGTCGAGCGGGCAGTTTACAGGGAGGTTGGCATTGCTGTCTGAAGTTGCTGGCCTTCTCCAAGACCCGGACAAGGACAATGTTCTTCTTCTTCTTGACTTCTTGACACAAAGGCAGTTGGAACCATGGAGCCCAATGGCAGGCTGATTTTGATTAGGACTTGGATGTTCAGCCTCTCTTTTTGAAAAGCATAATCTATACACACACTAGATCAGAAAGTGCACCCACCTTTATTTATTTTATTTTTTTAAAGATTTTTATTTGCTTTAGCGCGCACGTGTGTGAGTAGGGGGAGGGGCAGAGGGAGAAGGAGAGAGGGAATCCCAAGCCGACGCCACACTGAGCGTGGAGCCTGACGTGGGGCTCGATCCTGGGTCCCTGAGATCACGACCTGAGCTGAAATCAAGAGTTGGAAGCTTAACTGACTGAGCCACCCAGGTGCCCCATCCACCCTCGGTGATTGAATAAAAGCACTCCCAATAACTTTCTAACGTCCTTGGGGAGACCCACTCTAGCTGTAGGTTTTCCACCCTGGTTACTTCCATTTCTCCCAGACTCTCAAGGCAGTGAGTCAAATGGAACCTTTGCCAGAAACCCATCCCCAGTGGTTATTTTTGCTTCTTACTAGGACTAACTTACTATTTAAAAATCTTTCCTTGAACCCAAGTGACACCCGGAGAGAGAGGTTTTTGCCTGGTGACTGCTCCACCAACTGGTTCTCACTGGTTTGAAGTATTAACTTGAACTGGGCAGATCAGCACTGAGAGGGAACTAGGAAACGGAGGCTTTAAATATCCTGATCTCAACAGATGTGTGTGCCTATCCCCACAATTAAAAGTTGTGAAAACGAGGCAGGAATCACAGAGGACACACAGTGGAGGCATCAACACCCCATGGATGGATGCCCAGCACCCCATCTTCGGCTCTGCTGCCCCGATTATAGGTCAATTCAGGATCATCAGGGGAGGTTTGGACTTATTTTTAGAAGGAGACTGGTGCTTCTCATCACTAACCTTCTGCTGTCGTTCATCCGGGCTATCACAAAATATCACAGACTGAGTGGCCTATAAACAACAGAAATTTGTTTCTCACAGCTCTAAAGACTGCAAGTTCAAGACCATGGCACCTGCATAGTCCGGTGAGAGCTCTCTTTGAGGTTCACAACCATGGACGTTCACTGTGTCCTCACATGGAGGAAGGGACTAGAGATCGCTCTGGAGCCTCTTCTGTAAGGCTCCCCCCATCATGACTTGGGGACCTCCCAAAGGTGTCACCTCTTGTTACCATCATCTTTTGGGGGTTAGGATTCCAATGTATGAATTTGGGGGGAACACAAACATTCAGATAATAGCATCTTCTGCCCTTAGTTTCTCTTTTCACTACCCTTGGCCCCCCACAAGACTAAAGAGATACCCTAGCAGACCCATTCCTTTTGCTTTCTGTTCATTAAAGGGAATTGGATTGATAAACTATTCCGTGGGGCTCCAGAGACAAGAAACAGAGAAAGGAAATAATAGAAGGGTAAATTACAGTTCACTGTAAAGGCAAAGGAATGCATCTAGCAGGGTGGTTGACAGCTCACGCTCAAGTAGAAAGGCCTGTTTGGAACCCCAGCTCTGCCACAGTTAAAGCTATGTGACCTGAGTAAGTCACTTCACCTCTCTGGGCTTGGGTTTTCTCATCTGTAAAATAAGATCATCATACTGTTGTGAGGATTAAATCAAGTGTTATTTGTGACAGCTATAGAGTGTAGCATGAAGACCTAAGTATCTAGCACATGTCTAATTAATAACAATGGCTAAGGTCAGAAAAATAGTTACCTACGAATGGATTCGACTACCTTGTAAGGTAATGAGGGTCCTGCAACTAGAAGGATTCAAGTAAAGGAAAAGTTGCTTCCACTTAGGTTTGTAAGAAAGTTTCTGCATCCATGAAGAAGCTGGCTGGGATGAACCTTGACCCCAGCTCTTGGGGGTGGTGGTGGTGGGGGGGGCTTCTGAGACGAAGGAAGACAGGCAGGCATCTGGTTAGGGTTAGGGTTATAGGCAGGCATCTGGTTTTGGGCCCAGAACCTGATGTGTGCCACCAAACCCGCCCACTGGACCCCACTTGGCCCCTGGAGGCTATTTTTACTCCTCTCATCTTACAGATCTGTTTTGTTAATCTCCTTATATTTGCTGTTTTGACTTCCCAGTCAGCTTGCTAATCAGTTTGCCTGTTTGACTCACAGGGTTTGCATTTGTCACTGAGACTTAAACACACACTTGTTTTGATTTCTTTTTGTAAAATTAGAAGCGTTTGATGTAATGACTCTACCTAGACACAGCTGGTAAAGTGAGAATAATGCTCAAGTTTGCACAGTTTAAACACAATGAATAATTAGAAATGCTATCTTTAGATGTTTAGGATAAGCTTTTTCTCAGAATTGCAGTGAATTTTTTCCGAGTGGGGCTTTTCAGTGCGTATATATACAGAAATACTAAAAACGTAAGAAAATAGAGCAAATCAGTGAGTGCTTTGGTCAACTTGAAAGACGGCAGGAAATAAACCAACTGATTTTAGATCTGGCATTTTTGACTGAATGCATAAAATCTTTACATTCTCCATAATTTTCACGACTGCCATATGATCTAATAATTTTAGGTGACAGATTGCAACCGATAAGTTGTTACAATACTCTAGAAGGAACACTCAGCCTATATCGTTGGCCTGCAGCGAGGGTGGAGAGGGAAAATGGTGCAAATAATAAAGATAATCATCTATATCAGGAAAATTACTGCATGTTTATTTCAGGTAACAAAAAAAGATATAGTTATATTACATGATGATCGTAGAAACCAATAAACACAGGGTCTGCAAATGAATAGAGGTTACTTCTTTCTTTAAATTAAACTACAAGATAGCAGCTGGTCTGCTTTTTTTTTTTTTTAAAGCCAATTGTTTTAAATTTAATAGGCTATCACTGGCCTCGGCTAAGATCCAAAATATATTCCTGGGCTCACATAGATTCCAGAAAGTCGAACTTGTCAGTGTTGTACAAACTTTCCCTATTAAAAAAAAATCCCACTCAGTCGAGAGGTGATATGAAATGTAAGGCAGCACATCTGTATCTATCATTTTAAATTGCCTTCATGCTGTATCAACTTGTTTTGTTTTGTTTTTGTGAGCAATCATAATATCGAGAGACAGGTCCTTCTTATTTTTTCTGCTTCTCATTTCTAATTAGATTCACTACTGAGCTCTCTATTGCAGCTCTGATTTTCAAATTTTTCTCTGTTCAGAAAGACATCTGGAAAAAAAGGAATATATTAAAGTAGTGAGTTAAGGGGAATATTTTGGCTTCTTGACATCCTAACTGAGCCGTGTCATGGTACCCTCAGTATTTATTAAGGAGGGAGATTTTTCCAAATGGAGGCTTCCAGAATGAAAGCAAAAGGCAGACAGAGAAGGTACTCAAAGAGAGGACTTTTTTTTTTTTTTTTTAAGATTTTGTTTATTATTTGAGAGAGAGAGAGACAGAGACGGAATGAGCAGGGGCAGAGGGAGAGGAAGAAGCAGACTCCGCGGAGCAGGGAGCCCGATGCGGGGCTCGATCCCAGGACCCCGGGATCACGACCTGAGCCAGAGGCAGACGCTTAACAGACTGAGCCACCCCGGCGCCCCAGTAGAAGACTTTTGCAAAGAGAAGTAGGATACCAAGCCATCCAAAGGGCTGCAGCAAAACGATGGAGTCAGGAGAGGCCCCCTATTTTGGAGGAGCAGCAAACCAAGAGGGGTGAAGGCATGCTGCAATTTTAAAGAAACAAGGAAGATAACACCAATGAGCAGGTAGCTGGTCTTTGAAATTCCTTAAAGAAGAGGTTGAACCACATGGTGAGTCCCGGTGGGACTGACACATCCAAAGAGTCACCCCAACAGGTGAATGACTGATGGCAGAACCCTTTTCTAGAATTCCCTGTTGTGATGGTGGTGTGTGCTGCGGGTTGAGAGCACAAGAGGCACAATGACGGGGAAATGCATTTAGCTTAAGATTGCCGAGTGGGCGGAGGCTCCAGCTGGGATTGAGCGGAATGCCACCAGGAGCCTCCTAGCCAGAGAGGCTTCTGGAATAGCTGTGTGAGGTGAAGAAGACCGGCCGGGGGGGGGGGGGGGGGGCGGCGCGGAAGGTGGGCAGAGGAGGCATGGAAAGAGGAGTCAGGGATGAGAAATGCCTGGTTTAAAAAAGCCAATCCATTTCTAGGGGCCTTAATTAAAAGAACGACACACGCTCATATGTAAAAATCCACACCTAAGGGCTCTCAGGTACAGAGCAGTCACAAGAAAGGCAGGATGTGCAAACAAGCTTTCATTAAGAGACCTGTCGGCTCTGTTTCATTTATCCAGACGGCTCTGCATTCTGCTGGCAACCGAGCTGGAAAAATAATGGAAGGACAGACACACTCGAAGAGGCAAACAAAGGTGGGAACGTCCCAGCTACAAAATAGAACAGATGATAAAGCAGCCAGGGGAGAGCGGAGATGAGATGACATTCTTCTTAACAAAAAACAGCCACCGCCCCGCCCCCCAGCTCCAGACTCATGAGTAACGCAATATTCTGGCTTTTTAAGGGAAGAAAATGAAACAAAATCAGATGTGGGGTTCAGAGACAATGCTGCTGGTGGCTTATTTAAATCTATTCTCAACTTTCCTCTACTGCTCGATTTTGTTTTGCTGTTCACCCTTTTAGAGTCTGCATGTCCAGGGACAGGCCCTCCCCAGTTCATTTGGTGATCCTGATGAGCCTGAGCCCTTCTCAGTTAATTCCATCTCCCTCGCTAGGGGTTGGTTTAGACATAGGCTTGTGATAATTCTGACCAATGAATTGTGACAAGTACTAGGTTTCTTGCTCTTATGCATGCACGTCCGCACATGCACACACATGCACATGCATGCACACACACGGGGAGAAACTTCCTTCTTGCCTCTGGACACAAATGTGAGAACAGGTGACTGACGCTGGAGCTGTGGCAGCCATCTCGGCAGCTTGAGGGTGTAGCTGACCCTGAGGCAGGCAGAGCAGAAAGATGGAAACCCAGATCCTTGATGACTTCTTGAATAAACCTGCCCCAGAATACCCTACTTCTGAAGTTCTCGTTATGCAATACAATTCATTTTCCTATCGTTCAAGTTTCTTAAAGTGTGTGAATCGTAGCGGAGCGTGCTCAGACTGATGCAAGGCTAGCTGGTGGAGCAGGGGAGAGAACGTTGTGCACTTCCACGAGGACTCTCAAAAAGACAAAAGACAGCCGTAATTGCTGAAACTCCATTTAATGTCTGTGGAACAGAGGAGCCACGTTGGGCTGGAACAGCAGGGGTGGGACAGAGTCACATGTGTGTATGGGGCATTGTCAAAGTTACTCATGTGACAGGATCAGCTCATTGGCTCCAATTCCATCTAATAACACAAAACCCTCCCAGGCGGACTGCACACACCGTTTGGATTATCACTCCCTCTGACCTCCCCGCCCTGAACCCCACACTCTCCGGGACTCACAGTAGTGTCCCTGCCCGTGATGGAATGTGGTGGCGTTTCTTGTAAGCGCTGCTTTCCAGAAGGTGACGGAATGGGCCCTAAAGATGTGCACCTGGCCAACTGTGCGTCAAAACCAGAGCTTCCGTGGGGAGAGATTTTTCTTTTCATTATGATTGTATTAAATCTGGCTGTGATTTCCTTTGGTGGCTCTGGCGGGCTATGCAGTAGCGCTGAACATTTGCAGAGAGTTAAGGCCTAGTGCCGCAGGAAAATTATTTCCGTGGCTGCTGGCCTGTGCAGGCTCTGCAGCTGCAGAAGCCACCTCCCTGGAGAGGAAGTTGAGGGGGCGGGTGTGGGGAGCTGGGAGAGGCTGAAGCACAGAAGGATGAATGGGGCATCAGGGCCTGACGGGCAAGGGGCACGTGGTGTGTCCAGATCCCAGCTCCTGGGTCTAGGAGCAACAGTGCACCGACTTGGGCACGCCCCTCTTCCACTACTGGGGTGACCTCTGGTGAGTGGGAAGAAAGCAGCTGGATGCCCACCTGGGCCCCCAAACTGGACCTTCTTGCCTCCACTTCGCTGTCCTTCAGGGTGAGAGCACGCAAAATCTGACAGAGCTCCTCGTCCGCGAGCAGAGTAACGCCGGAGATGAAATAGGGCAGGGAGGCATTGGGGTGGGCTGGCCACCCCCGTGCGGGGTTCACACCTGGGATCATGCACCTGCTCTACCCACCTGATATTTTGGATGAATTTTCAACTCTCCCACCTAGGGAGCCTCTCTTTTTCCTGCAGGAGAGCCTCTCAAAGGAGTGATTCTGGTTCTCAGGGGTGTTTTGAGCTTTGGGATGTAGTATCAGGCCTTTCTGGGGTCATGAACTGAGTTTCGCTCAAAAAAAGGTCTATCGTTTGATGGGCCTTCCATTTTCTGCAGCTCCAGATGTCACCCAGAAGAGCTAATTTTATCCCTAAGGAAAGAACCAGGAGGGTTGACGCCCCCTCCTTTCCCACCCTGGGTACTTGGTTCCACAGTCCCCCGAAACGGGCTGTAATGAAATTATTTTGTTTTCCTCTCTCTTTCCACTATCGGGCCACACGCTCTGCGTCTCGTCTCTAAGATCCCGGTACCCGGCAGCACAGGCGAAGCAGCCTTAACGGCCCGCAGGAGGAGTGAAGGGTTCAAGGTTTCCCTGGCAAGGGAAACTGGATGGGCCCTAAGCAGTTCCCTGCCCCAACTGCTTATCTTGTCCCCAGCCCCACCCCCACCCCTCCATGGCCATAAAAACCCTATAGGCAGCATGGGTGGAAGGCAGAAAACCAGCATTCCCAGGCTCTGGCTCTTATCTCAGAAACGAAAAATCAAAATACTGCTGGAGTCCCCTTCCCCCCTCTTCTCCCTCCCATCACTCCGGGTGGATTAATCCTTCAGAATTACAGGCTGGAAAGCTCAGCTCTAGCAGTCAGCAAACGGGTCTCCACAGGGGCTGTGGATTTCAAACCAGAAACCCCACCTTCTGAGCCCGCTTAAGCCCCTCTCCACCTGCCAGTCGGCGGCATGACAGACAGTGCCGCGGGCAGGGTGCCAAGAACACCCACGCTGGGAGGTCCTCCCGGGCCCTGACACGATGGAGCGGCGCCACGAGCCCTCTGGACCCATTATGCTCAATTACACCTTTCTCTCCAGCCACCTAGCCATTACAAAGACGGGGACCTGATTAAAAACCCCATCCGTTTCAAGCTCTTCCCATAATTTTGATCAACAACATTAAACGCTAATAGAAAAACATCTTATCTCTAATAAAACCAACGCTGACAGAGAGACGGATGCCGAAAACCAGCCATATGGCAGACACGATTCTGGGCCGTGTTCGCAGTAGCGTGTCTCCGGCAGAAAGAGATGACACGGAGAAGCTGGAGGACCCGCATTTAATAAATCAAACTGTGCTGGCATCATCAGAATATTCACAGTCTGCCACAGGCCCTGGGTCTCTTCTCACTTGCAGATCTGGAAACGTGTTAGGAGAAAGGAGCTTCCCAGCGCTGTTCTGACGCTTAAGTCATGACCGTCCCCTGCGCCTTAGACATGTCACCGTACGGATCCCTTTCCCCTTCAGGTTTTCACGGCGCTCCCCGTGCCGCCACCCTCTGGGGTCTCCTTGCCGTCCTCCGGGGTGGAGGCTGCGGCTGCCGACTGGCTGGACTCAGAGGAGCCCCGGCAAGGTTTGGGGGCCTCCCCCTTGGAGGCCAGGCCCGGCGGAGCTGTCCCCATCTCGTGCCTCCGAGCCTCCCCAGGACTCGCCCTTCGGACCCGTTCTGGTTGGGCCTCCATCAGTCTCATCCTCTCCCCTGCAAGCCCGTCCATTCCCTCCTCCTCAGACGCTACCCGCGGTGAGGGTTTGCACTGGTTGCCGTGGTTCCGACTTGCCGCGGAGAGGACGGCGGGCCCTCCAGCATCCTCCGGGGCTGTCAACGCCTCGGGGGCCGCCCGGCTTCCACCTCGTTCTGGCTTCTGGACCTCCCCTGAAACAGACCCGGCACAGCATGAGACCTCTGGCGGGAGGTCAGCCCTCGCGCCCTCTCTCTTCCCAACCTCAGGCCCAGGTCACCAGGGCTCGGAGGCGGAAAGTGCCGCTGCAGGGGATCACGGGACCCACGTCAACAAAGAAAGCAGCCACCCTGGTGACTGCCGTGTCATTCACGGAGGGAAAGGGAGCCTGCGGCCAAGGTCATCACCCATCCCTTCCAGGCGCCTGGTTGTCTCCTGCTTCCCGCTCTGTGCTTCCTCGTGCCCGTCAAGCATCTAAATTGAGGACGAAGGTTCTGTAGATGCTGCGGCTCAGGAAAGACCTGGGGCCTTCAGTCATGGAAAGGGGTGCTGGTGGCCTTGCAGGTGGGAAAGAGAAGAACAGCGTGGGAGGGGTTTAGCGTCCCGCACCCTCCCACTCGGTCTCCAACAGCACCCCATTCTTCGATGCACACTGCTGCTGTTTCCTCAGCTCCCCACCCCTCCTAACTAAATTGGTCTGCCCAAACCGCTTCTCTAAACATCATTTTCGAGTTCGACTGGAGGGGGACGGGAGAGAATGGGGTGCCGGGAACGGGCGTCTAGCCTCTACTGATTCATTACTTTGTGATCAGGAGAACCTGTCTGGCCTCCTTTCCTCAGACACAAAACAAGGGGCAGGACTCTCCGATGTCCCTTCCAGACCTAAGCACCGGTGGCTCTGCAGGACAGAGACACGCTTGGGGAGCAACCTCCCAGCACCCAGTCCTGTGCATGCAACGCCAGACTCTGAGGTTCCCAGAAGTGAAGATGTTCTTAGCCCGCAAGCCAAACAGTGGTGACATGCAAGGAAGCACCTCACGGGGCCAGGGGTCTGGGGGACACTTCCTGGTACTCCCAGTGGGGCCAGAGTAGAGTCCCACTGCCATCAGGCTGGCATCAGACACATGCGGATTGCTTCAGGCTGACAGCTGGGACTTGGGGAGGTGGAGGGAGCACTCAGGACGATTTGAAGAAGCTGACCTGTTCCGACCATGCACTTTCCTGCTTTGGGCTTTTTGTCAGAGCCTAGCTGCTTGTAGGATGTATTTTAATTCCTTTCACTTAGGCCTCTGACAGGGTCCTACCCGATCTGCTCCTGTTTCAGCCCGCAGCCTCATTTCCTGTGGTTCTCTCATGTCTGTGTGTCCTTCTATCCATTCTATGCTATCTTTCGGGCTCTGCAGGCACCTGTGGATTCTCCCTCTCTAAAACTGAATCATAGCAGCTAACGCTTTTTAGGTGCTTTTTCTGGGCTGGGCTCGGTGCTCAGCATTTTATGCATTGATCTTATTCTAGAATGCAAGCGGGGGCCTTGCCTGACTTGTTCACAGTGCTTGGCACATTCTAAGCATTCAAGAATGTTTATAAAAAGTTCCTCACTTTCCTTTTTTCTTTTGATGGGAGCATAATGTACATAAAAGTGCGCCGACCGTTACGTCTACAGCTCACTGAATTTCACACCATGGACACACCCATGGACCCAGCAGCCAGGATGAGAAGCAAAATAACCAACCCCCTATAGACACTTCCCAGTCTATCTGCTCCCCTGGGCCCCCTCCTAGTCACTTTTCTGCCAAGAGTGACCACTAGCCTACTTCAGACACCAAAGATGAGTTTTGCCTGGTCTTCGGTGTTCGTATACCAGAGTCGTATTGTATATGCTGGTTTGTGTCTGTATTGTTTTGTGTGTATGAGATTGATCCATGTTACAGTCTGTAGAGTGGGTTCATTTGAAGGTGTCACAGCAGTCAACAAATATTTAAGTATGGAATGAAAACAGGCAATTCACAAGGAAATACAAACGGATGGCAAACACGAGAAACGATGACATCACTCTAACTAAAGATATCGAAATTGCAAAGAGATGCATTTTTTCATCTACCAGACTGGCAAATATGAAAAGGTTTGATAAAGCTCAGTTTGGCTGAGGATGTGGGGAAACAGGTATAATCATACATTACTAAAGAGAATAAAAATGAGCAAAACTCTTTGACAGGGCATTTAGGCAATATCTATCACAATCCTAAATACATTTACCCTTTGACTCAGTATTTTCAGGATTAGGAATCTATCTATGGATATTAGTCCAAATATTTCAAGATGTATGCACCTAGATGCTCACTATGACATTGCTTTTTTAAAAAGGATTATTTATTTATTTATTTGAGAGAGAGGGAGAGAGAGACTGTGTGAGTGGAAGGAGGTGCAGAGGGAGAGAATCTTCAAGCAGACTCCCCACTGAAGGAGGAGCTCCACATGGGGCTCAGTCTCACGACCCATGGGATCATGACTGGAGCCAAAACCAAGAGTCGGATGCTTAACTGACTAAGCCACCTAGGTGCCCCATGACATTGTTTTTTATAGCAGAAAACTGGAGAGAATCTGAGTGCTCATCAACAGGGGATTCTGTATGTACTTGCTGTATATATTTTTTTGTGGCATACCCTAAAACTTGTAATTTTCCTCTAGGGAGCAAGCTGAGGGTCAGGGCAGAAAACAAGGATGGAGGAAGGCTTTAAATTTAACTTTATACCTTTCTGTGTCATTTACATTTTCTTCTCTTTTTATTTATTTATTTTTTAAGTAGGCTCCATGCCAAGCATGGAGCCCAACTTAGGGCTTGAACTCAAGACCCTGAGATCAAGACCTGAGCTGAGATCAAGTGTTGGACGTGTAACTACTGAGCCACACAGGTGCCCCCTCTGTGTCATTTACATTTTAAACACCTGCTTGTATTACTAGTTTAAAAAGGTAAGATATGCAACTTCCAAGATTTTGTCACCGATTACCATCTCGTCTTTCCTTTTCTGCACTAAATTGTAGACCTAAGAGCCTATATCCACTGCTTCCAGTTCCCAACGCTGATTCACAACTCAGATCCTTCAGTCTGCCTTGTATCCTCCCTACCAGTGAGCAAGCTCTTGTCACCACATCCGATGCCCCTTTCTCAGTCCCCTCCTGCCTCCTCTGTAGCATGTTTCTTTCTTTTTTTGAAGATTTTATTTATTTGACACACACACACAGAGAGAGAGAGAGCACAAGCAGGGGGAGTGGCAGGCAGAGGGAGAAGGAGAAGCAGGCTCCTTGCAGAGCAGGGAGCCCGATGCGGGGCTCGATCCCAGGACCCTGGGATCATGACCTGAGCCAAAGGCAGATGCCTAACCGACTGAGCCACCTGGACGCCCCTCCTCTGTAGCATGTTTCTGATGCCACATCCTCCCCTCAAGCTGTTTCTCCCTTTGGTTTCCAAAACACTGTGTTCTTCTGTTTCTCCTCCAATCTTGTTTGGTGAGCATGCTGTATTAGTTTCCCATAGCTGCTATAACAAATTACCACAAATTCAGTAGCTTAAAAGAACACACATTTTTTTCTCTTATAGCTCTGGAGGTCAGAAATCCAAAATGGCTTTCACTGGGCCAGAACCAAAGCCACACTGCCTTGGAGACTCTAGGGGAAGATCTGTTCTCTGCCTCTTGCAGCTTCTGGTGGCTGCCGGCACTCCTTGGCTTGCAGCAGCATCCCCCACTGTCTGCCTCGGTGGTCACCCTGCCTTCTCTTTTCTGTGCATGGCAAATCTCCTTCTGCCTCCCTCGTACAAGGAGACACGTGCTTCTACTGAGGACCCACCTGGATAATCCAGAATAATCTCTCCATCTCAAAAGTGGGTAAATCAATCACACCTGTAATTCTTTTGCCCACTGAAGGTAACATTACAGGTTCCAGGAATTAGGATCTGAAATCTTTGGGGGCCACTATTCAGCCTACTCTGCAGGCCTCCTAGTTTCCTTTGTCCATCCCAAATCTCCTTCTGGCCCCTCTGATTCCCAACCCCCCATCTATGTGCCATGTGTTTCCCTTGTTTTCATTCACTCTCACTCACTGGCCAGCTCATGACCTTAATTTCTGACCATGAGTGCAGCTCCCAAATCTACATGCATGGCTCTGACCCCTTTCTGTCAGAGACATACACCCAGGTTTCTAGCTGCCAACTGGATTCCCCCACCTGGATGATCTGGAATTCCCCTCGCCCCCAAACCTGCCCCAGTAGATGTCCTTGTGCCTGCCATATCAGGACCGGTTCATGGTAATATGGGCTTCACACCCTGAAGCCACCCACATCAGTGTGCTTCCTTTTTCTATACCCATCAACCACCAAGTACTACTTATGTGCTTCAGTGCTGTGAACCGAATGTATCCTCTCCCCCACCCAAATTCATATTTGAAGCCCTAATCCTCAATATGATGGTATTAGGAGGTGGGGCCTTTGGGAGGTGATTCAGCTTAAATGTGCTCATGAGGGTGAAGGCCTCATGATGGGATTAGTGCCCTTTAAGAAGAGAAAGAAACACCAGAGTTCTTGTTCGCTCCCTCCCTCTCTCCCTCTGCCTCTCTGTCTGTCTCTCTCTCTGCCACTGAGGACACAGCAAGAAAGTGGATGTCTGCAAGTCAGGAAGAGAGGATCCTCACCAGACACCGAACATGCCAGCACCTTGATCTTGGACTTCCCAGCTTCTAGAACTGTGGGAAATAAATGTTTGTTGTTCAAGACACTTCCCTGATAGTGTTTTGTTATAGAAGCCTCAGCTGACTAAAACACTCATAGCGTCTTGCATCTGTCTCTTCCTCTCCTTTCCCAAGGCAGACCCTCTGCAGTCACGGCTTGATTTCTAAGGCTTCCCTGTATAAATCACTAGGTGCATTTCCCAAAATTTCAGCTGGATTTGACTTAACATCACCTCAGCCAATGAACGGGTAAGCATTCAGCAAACAAGTGCAAACCACTCCTGATAGTTCATAAACCCACCCCTGGCAGGCGATAACTACGTGGGGACTATTAAAAAGATTTATATGAATTTTTGAGGATTATTTATATCATTTAGAAAGACTGAATATTCAAAAGTGCATACATCTAACTACATGTAGCCTAAAAAGTCGATAAGATCTAAAAAGTTTGAATTAAAATGCAGCCTAGAAT